AAGATAGGTGGTGTGAGTTGAGTGGTGTAAGTTGAGTGGTGTAAGATTGAGTGGTGTAACATGATGACTTGAGTGGGGCGGCGGAGGCGGCGGAGGCGGGAGGTGGCGGCGGGAGGCGGAGCGGCGGTCGCAGAGCGAAAAACTAGAACCCCACATAGTGATGTGGGGAAGAAGGAACCTAATAGCAGTGGCCTCCACCCTAATAGTGATGGCCTCCAACCTTGTAGCAAAAGGAACCTAATAGCGATGGCCTGAACCCTAGTAGCGAGGGTGACGGATCAAAAAATAGATTAGTAGTTATCAAAAAACAAATATTAAGGAGATCAAAAAGAACATAAAAAGATCAAACAGTAAACGCAAAAACTACTAGTATTTAAACAAAATATTCGAAGAGATCAACAAGAAACCTTAAATAAGGGCAAATAATTAGCATAGCACTCTTAACAATAGCAGTGGTGGTATTGGAGAGTAGTAATAGGAGTAGGAGTAGGAGGAGGAGTGGAGGAGGAGGAGTAGTAGTGGTGGTGGTGGTGGTAGTAGTAGTAGGGCTGTCATTTTCTCTTTTTTTGCATTCTGGTCCTGGGCGTGTTGAGGAAGTAACTTGACAGATAGATAAAACAGGTAAGACCGATAAGATAGATAGGATACATATGATAGATAGACAGACAGGATAGATAAGGATAGATAGGATCGATAGGATAGGATAGGATAGGGTAGGATAGGGTAGAGTAGGACAGGACAGGACAGGATAGGATGGATCGATTGATGCTTCCTTACAAGCCAAAAGCCACGCAGAATCCAGAAGCCACGAAAACCACGAAAGCCAAAAGCCACAGAAGCAACGAAAGCCAAAAGCCACAGAAGCCAGACGCAAAAATACAATATCCTTAAAACAAAGAAATCCGAAAATAGATGGCCCTCCGCAGGACATCAAGGAACCAAGAAGACCAAGAGACCAGAGGGACCAAGAGATCAAAGGAGCAAGGGATCAGGGGACCAAGGACTATTATTTGAGGCCGAATAGAATTTTCTTTTGAAACCTATTTTTCCCAAAAGCATCTCCGATCGTTTAGTCGCTAGTGCCGCGGAAGAGCGAAAGAAAGCGTGCGTTGTCGGGGACGGAAGATGGATGTGGAGGTGGACGGGGTTGGGAAGGGAAGAGGGAGGGGAAGAAAGGGAGGGGAGCCAGACGAGGCGGGGACGGGGCTGGGGAGGGAAGATGGAGGGGAGCGAGTGGGTGGGGACGGGGCTGGGGAGGGAAGATGGAGGGGAGCGACAGGAGGCGCATGGGTGGGGACGGGGGTGGGGAAGGAAGATGGAGGGGAGGTGCATGGGTGGGGATGGGGCTGGGGAGGGAAGATGGAGGGGAGCGAGATGGGAGGCGCATGGGTGGGGACGGGGCTGGAGAGGGAAGATGCAGGGGAGCGAGATGGGAGGTGCATTGTGGATGGGCGTGGACGGGGCTGTGGAGGGTGCTAAGTGGAGGGGGCCAATGCTGCTCCATGCTTCGCGGCAGAACGTCGTTGTGCGAGTGGAGCGATCTTGCGCGGTTGATATGCTAGTTACGAGGACATAGTTGCACCACAAGCATCATTGCAGGCTCCGGGTCAGTTCACAAGTAGAACGAAGCATGGGTGGGGGTAGTTCTGCTCCATGCTTCGCGGAAGCACGTTCTGACGCAAGGGGAGCTGTGTTGCAGGGCTTATATGATGGTCTTGGGTGTCCAAAATGTGCACAATGCATGCGCCAACAGTCAAGTCATGGCCGAAACGGCAGGATTGTTGCACGCCAGAACCGCAATGCTTGAAATTTGATAGTTGGAACGAAGCATGGAGGGGGCTGATGCTGCTCCATGCTTCCTGGAACGGTTGTCAGAAGCCATGTTGCCATGGGGTTGGAGACTAGCTGCAGAGATTGAACACAGCCACTTGATATGTATATATATATATAATACAACCAACCTCCAACCCGACTAAAAGGAACCGTAAACGACAAATCCTCTCCTCCTGCGATATCTCCGCCATATCGACGCCCTGATCATGCCAACGATGCACGCCGCCGGAAATCTATGCCAAAAAATTAAACACTAGACGACGAACGACCCGAAAGCATTTTACCGCGTGTGATGCGCTGTAGCGCTGGCACAGCAGTACACACGCGCGCGCTTTTCCCAAAAGAATCTCCGATGCTTGGGTTCTCGTTTAGTTTAGTCGACGTTAGTGGGGGGGCAGAGCGAGACGAGGCAAGCATTTTCGTGGACGGAAGATGGGTGTGGACGGGGCTATACGGGGGTGTGGAAGGAAGATGGATGCTAAGTAGAACGAAGCATGGGCTAATGCTACTCCATGCCTCGCTGAAGAACGTTATTGCGCGGGTGGAACTGTCTGGCGCGGGCTATATGATGGTCTTGGGTGTCCAGAATCCAGAATGTGCGCAATGTATGCCGAAGACAGCCCAAGTCATTGATCGCAGAAACGGCAGGAAGGTTGCATGCCAGAACCGCAATGCTTTAAATTTCATGGTTGGAACGAAGCATGGAGGGAGCTGATGCTGCTCCACGCTTCCTGGAAGGGTTGTTAGAAGCCATGTTGCAATCGTTTATGACCGTTTTTGGAGGGCTTTCAAAAAATGATCAAGGGGTGGACGGGGGTGTATATGGCAGACGGGGGTGGACACCGCGATGCTTGGAATATCATGGTTGCCACGAAGCCTGAAGGGGGCTGATGCTTCGTTTTGGCCTGCTAATGTGTGTTTGTTTATTTTTCTGGGTTGCGCGTTTCTTTTTGCGTTTGGGTCCGCGGGCTCACCTTGTTTTTTGATGCATATTGTTATTTGTTTGATCCCTATCCCAGTAGCGATGGCCCTAATCCTGATGGCCTCCACCCTAGTAGCGATGGCCTCCAACCTTAATAGCAAAAGGAACCTAATAGCGATGGCCTCCACCCTAGTAGCGATGGCCTCCAACCTTGTAGCAAAACGAACCTAATAGCGATGGTCTCCACCCTAGTAGCGATGGCCTCCAACCTAGCGCAAGGAACCTAATAGCGATGGTCTCCACACGCCTCCACCCTAGTAGCGATGGCCTCCTAATAGCGATGGTCTCCACACGCCTCCACCCTAGTAGCGATGGCCTCCAAAAGACACAACTTAACACGAAAAGGACAGCTTTCCAGCTTTGGGGGCACTCCGGGAACGGGAAAGCCATATGGTTGGTCGCACCTGCTTCACTGCGTGCACGCACAAGACCCGATACTCGGAGAGCTCAATGGAAACGCTTCCAACCTCCAACAGGAGTAGAACGTACCTCGGATAGCTTCGAGTCTGTCGAATACAGGGCCCGTATGGGGGAAAACCATCAGACCCTGCCGACCTTCCCGACGTGTCCAAACTACAACCGAAGGACGGTCTTTCAAAGTTTTACCATCAAAGGAACGCATGGAAATCTTCGTTGCTCACATCACCAGCAGACATTGAGCGCAAAGGGTGCCGTAGCAAAACCCTTTGTTCTTCCTTTCCTTTGTCAGGTTTATTTTTTCTTTTCTGTTGTTAGCATTCTCAAAGGCTAGCGGCTAGCGCTGAACAATGCTTCAGCACCTTTGTTCGCAACTTCTACCCTTTCCAGATTCCGCGTTTCGCTCATTTCGCTCTCATTTTTCCATGTTGCAGGAAGACACCGAACACCGAGAAGACTTCGTAGACAGTGCCTCAGTCGCTCTTTCATCGTCGTTCATGTTCCGACAAAATGCCACCAAGGTACTCATTCCGTGGGCCCATTTGTCACAAGTCAAATCAAGCATCGCCTGGAACTTTTTTGAGCAAATATCACTGCATGGCGCACGCAAGTCGTGAACGTCAACGCCCAACAAGTTCCAGAAACTGCAATAACAAACTAGACCCGAAACTACGTTCTTGGTGCTATTGTGCTGACAAGCGCATTTACAACACAATAACACCTCAACAAGAACTCTCAACAAACTCTCAACAAGAACTCTTCATCACTTAACCATCAGCCACCTCTGAGGTTCCAAGACAATGAAGCAAAGGTTCGACCTGGACAGCATCTTTTTCCATGTAAAAAATCAAAAAATTGTTTTTGTCTAGTTTGTGCGTAACGCATTGAACTTGTCCTAGGCACAAATCACAGAATAGACCCCCTGCTTCAGCATGATTTTTTTGGCATCAACTCATGCATTCCAACGTTGGTGGAAACGCCTGCAATTCTATACCCATAGCCTCCAGCTGTAGGGGGACGCCATGTAAAAGACTTCCTATGACATACAGTGAATGGCATAGCAGAGGAAATTAGTGGATTTAGTTTGGCCACACGGTGTGCCACAGAACAGATACAACAATTCAATCTAACACGAAGCATCCTTTGCGCTGCCCCTCATCCCGCGCGAGAAGCCAAATTTACACCAGCATTATTTTCTGGCACGGGCTCACCCAAACGCACCTTTCACCAAGGCCGCGCAAAACCGCGCGGCAAAGAGACATCACAGACGTAATTTGGCCACAGTGCGCACAAGAAACTAGCTAGAGACAACAGGGTAACACCAGGCTTCGTGCTGATTTTACACAAACTTACACCTGCGTGTTGTCCTTCCTCCAGTGGCACGGGCTCACGCGAATGCACTTTGCACCGCCGCGTGGCGCAGCGACATCACAAACGTAATTTGGCCACACGGCCTGCCACGGACTCTCAGAAGCTGTTTTCTGAACAGTATTACATTTGTACTACACAAGTAACCAGCTCTGAGGCCACAGCTCCCAAAAGCTACTTCCCACACTACATGTATGTATACTACCAACTTACCAACCAACCTCCACCTTCGGTTTCGGCGACAATTACACTCTTTGGCAACCTCCACCTTCGTTTTCGACGACAGGTCGACACTTTGGCAACTTCTACCTTCCGGGGGCATTCCCGACGACAGTTACAGACTTTGGCACCTTGCAACGTCAATTTCGACGACAATTGCATACTTACTTCGGTACCAAAATGTACCAAAGTTCGCATACGTTTGAGCGCTCGACACGCGTGATCTCCACAAAGGGTTCATCCAGCACAGCTGGAATTCGCATTTCGCCTCATTGAGCACTGAACGCGCTCGTCGCAGAGGGTAACGCTTCGCAAGCCCTGTCCGGCCAGGTCCCCGCCTCAGAAAGAATAGACAAAGAGCCGGGATGTGTCATGCACACGCGAACAAACATATGCTTCACTCTATGTTAACACATGTTTACTTTTGCAACGGTTTACTGAACAAGGCCTCAGCGAAAGTTGCCCGAGCAAGATCCCAGCACCAAAGCAATGCTAGCGTAGCAGCAGCTCTACACAACCATGCCTGCACGCTGCAGATGTACTTGTAGCATACCTACAAATGCAGCTATACCAGTCGCAAATGTGTTACCACCTCCGTAGCAGCAGCTCTAGAAGACCACACCTGCAGATGTACTTACAGTATAGCATACACACAAGTGCAGCTATATAAATCTCAAATGTATTGATGCAGATGTGCTACGCAAAAGATTTCTACAGAAGAACCCTTCGCAACGCTCCCGGGAAAAAGAAGATCGTGGAAGATACCAAATTTGAAACGCTGCATCACTTTTGCATTGATAGCCAGGAGAGAAACATGCAGGTCCAAACAAGCCCCGAGACGAGGCCCACGCAGCCAAGAAGGATCCACAGACCCGGACCATGGCAGCGCGGCCAAGTGTGGACGCCATCGCTACATCGCTATTGGGTTGGAACAAAAGGAAAACGTTTACCCGGACAAGGCCTAGACAAGGCCCAGAAAAGGTGGAGAAGAAAGGATTCACGGCGCGGCCAAGCAGGAGACACGGCCGCATGAGACAGAAACCCAACAGTAAACTGTTTGGGGAAAAGCACAGAACAACACCACAGCAACTACAACAACGGACATCACATTGACGTGCCACGGGAAAAACAACCCACTGTCAACCGTTTCGTTTGGCACAGCCATGCACAGCCCTTGGCCATCTTAGCCTCATTGTCCTTCCTCCCTCAGCCTCTTCTCGCCTTCTATTTGTTCATTTTTGAGAATATTGTTGGAGGCCATCGCTGTTGGGTTGGAGGCCATTGCAAGTAGGTTGGAATAAAACGAAATAAAAGGAATCGTAGGTTGGTATCCCTTCTAGCAAGGCCGCAACACATAATAATGGAATGCTGTGCAAAAACTTCCGGCAATTAACCTGAAGCAGCAGGATACTGGATCAACGCGGTTTCCCTTCTCTTTTCAGCTACGTACCGCTTGTCTCCGCTTTGTGTTTCCTTTCATGTTGGTCTTTCCGTCTCTGATTTGTTTCCTGAAACAGAATCTCTAGAGGACATATACATAAATATATATATATATACATTATATATATATATGTATGTATATTAATAATATAGGACTCTATCCCTCTGGCTTTTCCGCGTTGATGTGGGATGAGATGTTCCCGACCAAGGTGCCATCAACAACCCAGCAATGTCTATCATCAGGAGAAAGCTAAGAATCTCTGGACCCTGAAGGTATCTCGGGAGCTGCATCCCACAAGTTCGCTTCCATCCCTGGGGCAGGAGGACAACAGTAAGGTTTGACTAAACGGACAGGAAACGTTGGAGGCCCGACATAGCTTAAGTTTCCCTAAACATCTAAGAACAAAGGGCATCGCTACTAGGAGCAAGGGCATTTCTACTAGTGCGAGCGCTTCTTCAAGGAAGCTCCGCCTTTAGGGCGGCCTGTGGGAGCTTCCTTGAAGCGTGAGCTATCCTGCGTCCAGTTACTAGCTTAAGTAAGGTAGTAGCTACCTCAGTTCCTCGCTTAATTGAGTAGGGAGAAGGGGGAGCGGACTGAAAAGAACTGCGCATTTGGCCTCAGGAAATACCAAGGTCTTGTACATCTGAAGCGTGTGCCAATAGAGGAGTCTGCCCAACCCAAGCGTGTAGACCAGCAGTCGTGCAGCAATCAGAAATTTGGACATCCTCCACACTCTACAAACACATGAAGTCATTTCCTGAAAGAGAATGAACATTATATAATCCTGAATGAATTAAATTGACAAATCGGGAAAAGGAAACATGTTTGCAGCAAGGGTGCACAGGATCTTGCAAGACCGTCTCTGAGTTCAGGATGCCTCGTGACATATGGGCTATCATTGCGGACTGCAAGCCCACATTTTTCAAGCACAGCCAGGAAGCAAGCAGACACGAGGAAGATCAAGAAGTTCACCATGCTAAATACTTGGTCCAAGAGAAAAAACCGCATGACCTGAGGAATATGGTGCTGTGGCTCAGTCATTCCATTGTTCATTGCACAGCCATAACAAAAAACAACCACTCCGAACTCCAAACCCAAATCCCTCCGCTAGCAGTCCAGCAGCCAAGTTCTCCCATAGCAAATCTGACACGAATGTCAAAATGGGATGGACAATAATCCCAGGATGTTTGAATCTCACGAAACTCACCCAAGATCTGGAGAGCATCTGCGAACTGTCAGTGTCTTGCAGTAAGTGCTCCATATAGTAAATCACTGGCCGTAGACCATCCTGCTTTTTGAAGAACCCTTGCTGCATTTCTGGCCAATCCTTACTTCTAACTTCCGTGCTACTGCCCCCAACACCCCGTTTCAGTCTCCGCAGTCTCCACATGCAGTTGACAGCCAACGAGTTTCACTAAAAGTCAAGTTTCCACCAAATCTAGGAACCACATGCATAGTGGGAGTGCTTCCTTGAAGAAGCATGAGCTATCCTGCGTGTTTAGTAGCTAGTATATAGTGTGTTTAGTCTACTAGTAGGCCTCGACCTTAATTATGTGGCCGCGTACTTGTAGCTTAAGAGGAGGTCCCGCGCCCAAAAACAGTCGTCCTGGGTTTTGTGTGAGCGCCAAATGAGCCCATCCAACAAGGTCTCCACCAAATGTGGTGCTTCGCGAAGGACGTTGGCCACAACATCTGCTTGGAGCCTCCGTGTTGGGTGCAGCTTGCTCTTAATGAACATTTTATATGTTTCTGCCTTTTGAATAGCTTTGTTCTTCGTGTAGTTTCTATTTTTAATATGTCAATCTCTCCTGAAAAGATCATTGACGCCATAATAGTAGTGATCTCTGTCCTCAATGCAGCATCGAAGACAGAATGTTGAGAATGTTTCGGGGGTCGGGGAGCACAAGAACAAGGATTCAATGACATTAAACCTTCAGCCATTCCTACATCTAAGTGGCTTGGAAACAAAAAGATCTTGATTGACCTCTTGTTTGTTTTGGGCCCACAAATGTTGAACCGCAGGCTTGCCAGGCTTGCTGCGTAATTTAGAGAAAAAATATGCTTTGCCAGCCATGCCTAAGCGCCATGGCTTAGAAGCTTAGCCATGCTTCAGCTCGGATGGTGAGGATATCTTGGATGAGGGTCTTCGACGCCATGTGCGCTCCGCTCCTGGCGATAGCAACGGGGCTCCGAACGTGTGACACAAGGAGCAAATACTGAATTCGAAGTCACTGCCTTGTGTAACCTAAAGAGAGCGGGTGTAACTGGGAGAAAACACCCTGTCCTAAACCCGCCAAAAACACGGACAATACAATGCAAAAACTCAAAAGCGGCCCTGAAACCTAGGCGAAACGTGCTATTTTTGATCTTTATCTGCCCAATATCAATCAATGCGCGATACCAATGGCAACAATAGCCTGTTCATCTGTATTCATTGGTTCTGACTATCTGTCAAGGCTGTTTGGGCTTAAATCTTGAATGGTTTCAGTCTCTCATCACCAATTGCTCATTTCAAGTGATTGATATCAAGTATGCAGATTTGAGTTTCAACACCTTCCCTTAGCAATTTCGCCTTGATCTCAACAGGTTGATCTATTCTACCCATATGTGTTTACATCGTATGATTGTTTCTTTCTATTCTTCCATGTATGTTTCAAATATAATTGACGTCCTATCTCCTCAGCAAGTTCTTCCCAGTCTAAACAGGCATGGCAAAACAATGATTTACAGTAAGTGTAGGACAATTGCAAATTGAAGAATTCTGCGTGTCATAGTCGTAAGCAAAAACCAATCCAAACAACACAAACTTGATTGTTGTATGAGTTCGGCTTGCATCTTGTCTAAACAAAGAGAACAAATAGCACGGCAGCACAACCAAAGACATGGACAACTTGTAACTTGTTGCCTGGATAGAAATTAACAAATCCCCTTGCACCTGGTCTAGCTCATTATCATTTTTATTTGGATCTCAATGTTCTTAAAAAGGCAACTTTCCAAAACAAACAGCAACACACAGCAACTTGACCAAGAAAACCCTTGCAAAGATTGAAGCAGCTCTCCATTCGGTGCTCAATTAAACACAGTAGAAAAAGGTATTCAAAACTCAGTTGTGGACTGTTGAGATCTACACAGGTTCTTTCTTTCACTCCGGATTGCCGTCACAGCTTGGCCGCAATTCCACGGCTTGGCGGCGCAGCAACACGAGATAAAGCCGTGCCCTAGGGTGCGAAGGTTTGATTTAAACCGCAGTGAAGGCTTCGCGGCTAAAGCAATTGACACACCTTTGAGACTAACAGGAATTATTCATCTAACATATTGTAAATGCGTTGTATCAGGAGTGAAAGAGCTGGTAAAAGGAACAAGAGCTAACCAATTGTCAACAAACAAGGCAAGAAGCAAAAAGCCACTGCTCGAGTACGGGCCCAGCGTTTATTGCAATAGACCTTCAGAAGTTTATGCCAATAGAGAGCTTGAAGGTTGCATCGCCAAAAAAGTTCTTAAAGCAATAACATGTTTGAGTCCTTTTCTCGTAAACATCTACAGTATTATTTTGGACTCTGATTGTCTGAAACCATGTTGTGTCTTTTCTTTTGCTCTCATATGCTTTCCACATCGGAGGCCTGGTCTGAAAGTCTGAAACCAATCGATAAACGCTAGCTCAAAACCTGGTTCTCTTTTGGAGGTCTTTGAAGCAACGTTTTTTACTGCAAAACACATAGTGTTTTGGCTCTTGAACCTACGGAAGGAGTTACAAGTAAAAAACAGCAATTGACTTGACAAGCTTTCATGAGCAAATTTGTGAACGCAATTCAGACGGCTATGGATGTCACTTCAGGTCATGATGTCACCTACCGAATACACTGGCTACAGCCCACCCTAGCAGCGGCCAACCGGAAGGGTTTCGTGATGAAGCTGCAACAAAGTCCGTCCACTTTTCGTGTGAACTCAACACGATCCTGAAGGATCCAGGATGAAGAACCTGGTGGAATCGACCTAAACCATTTCACATTCAGTCGTGCCGAGGTGAGTGCCGATATCTCGGCTGCCTACCATGTTTTTCTTCCTGAGCCCAATTTGGGTACCACAAGCGGCACCCGTTTTCTGTGGAATTGAGTGGGGTCGGAACTGGGGAAGAGCCCTGTTCCTCGTCGCCTATACCCTACACAATTCTGGCTCAATTTGTCGGCTTGACAATCGAAATCACTATCTCATGAATCATGAGTCAAACCTGAACATGTGCTTTTTGGTTGGGATGCCACCTCCAATCTGGATTCTTGGACCCACCCAAGATATGTGCATCTGTCATGTGGGTGTATGTTGAATCACACGGCATCCGATGTTTGCCATCACGATATCATGGCGATCAATCTCGCGAACTTCATTGAACCCTATCAGCGCCATGTTTTGAGTATTTTCCTGTCATACGCAACGTAATTAGCCCACTCCTGAGTGCCCAATATAGAGGTGAAATTGATTGGCTGCCCACACGAACTCTGAGTTGCCAAAGGTAACGCTGCCCCTCGGACCGTCGTTTCGACAATCTGGGCACATCCGGTGCCAACAGCTAAACCTTTTCACGTGCAAGCATTCTCGGCTTGTTTTGGATTCAGAATTCCAAAAGTAAAGTAAAACAATGACTCGTATGACTCGTATGACATGAAAGATTTGTTTACATGTGAAATACACGTGAGTGTTCAAACTGAAATGAAAAACCTGGACCTACACACGAAATGCGCTGCAAACGACAGTCCAAGGTAGTAGACTTGTCGAACATGGTTCCAAATCGGTGCGTGAAGCTGACACAGGTGCTTTTTCAGGCACGTTGGAACTCTGGAACAACGATTGTAAGGCAGTCAAATTGACTATACTAGCGATGGCCTCCTCCAACCTAATAGCGATGGCCTCCAACCTAGGAGCGATGGCCTCTAACCTACTAGGGATGGCCTCCAACCTACTAGCGATGGGCTCCAACCTAAGAGCAACTCCAACTAGTAGCGATGGCCTCTAACCTAGAAGCAATATAAGGCAATCAAATTTACCTTGTACTTACAACGATTGTCTGGAAACGAATTCAACTTACAAGCTACTTGGGTACTGAAGGTCCGGCGGGAGAAAGCTGTACACAAGCCGTGCAAGCTTGGAAAGACTGGGTGCACTTCAAAAACGAACGCGGCAAACGAAGAGAAAGAGGAGAGACATTGAAACAGTCTCCGCCTATTCCCTATGCAATAGGGGACTGAGTCACTTCGGCGAATGACCAATGAACGACATACCCACCGCATACAATGCTCGGAAAGGCTGGAACCAAGCAAATATTGTGCGAGTGCGTGCTGGGAAGATTGGAAAAAAATCATGTTCTGGAGCGTGTGCACTCGTGAGCGCTCTACTGGTTTCGGCACTTTGCAAAATGGAGGGACTGAAGTAGGTTTGCATCCAAGATCTGAGATGCTCAGCACTTGGAACACATCGGCCGCAAATATACCTGCAACTCTTTCCAATAATTGCAATCTGTGAAAACTTGCTTGCCACGTTGCTCGCGGAGCTTCCCGCAAAGCTCTGCGTAGCTGCTTGGGATCGTCTTTGTTGATTGCCTGCCTCAGCGAATTTGGATTGTGACAAACCCGAGTTTATCATTTATCAACCCTTTTGATCTGGAACAAAACAGGTCCACTTTGTCTTTTGTTCCAGCATTCCTCGACAGGGGGACCAGCTTTAAACTGACCTATTTCTTCGTAACACTTCGCTTTGGTGACTGGGTCGGCGGTGTGGGCAAAGGTCCACCAGCCCCATGCCCCTGTTAATTTAACACCTGTATGACAACAGAAAACACACGCATATATATATATATATGTATGGCCATACATCTATAACGATATATACATTTTATATGTGCATCAAACCATTCGAGCGTCGAACCGGACATTCGAATGAGCAAGTCGTACCACGCACCGCGTGGCTCAAGGCCGACAGGGAAAGGAAATAGAAGCACCGTACGGGTGCGACGGTTGGGGTGGAGGACAACCTGTGTTTGGTAGGTAGGGATAGGATTCTGCAGCAGCTCATGAGGGATCCAGGTTCTGATGATGTTCACACCGGGTATCGATCCTAGAGGGGCCCCTTTTGCGCCACTTGACCGAGCCACAGAGGCTTCGAGTGCTCGACGAGGGCACTACGAGAAAAGGTGCGTGTGCCACCTTCGTTCGACACTTCGAGATCGACCCCTTCGATTACATCTAGTGTTGTTGGCTAGAGCTCCAATACGCTACCATTGCAGCACCCGCTGCGTTGGTAGCGGAGCAGTGTCTCCGTTGCCAGGGCCTGCTCCGACGTTGTGGCGCCACCAGGTGAGAGCGCTGATCTCCATTGCCTTTTTCGGTGGCACCTCAACTTGGACTACACCACCCCCTTGTTGATCCTGGACGTTGAGAACAAGTTGTGTGGCTTTTCTCCCTTTTTGCACTTCCCGACAACGGTGGATTGCTTTTTCCCTCTAGGATGGCTGACAAGAATGAGCACCACATACCCACCTGGCATGGTCAAGCCAAGACCTGGAGACGCTACGCTCGCGAGGTGGCATGGTATGTTCGCGGCACCGTTCAAGAGAAGAGGAAATACTGTGCCACCAAATTGATCTCCCGCTTGACCGGCCCTGCGCGTCTCCTGGCTATGAGCTGGAAGACCGCCGAGTTCGACACGCCAGCAAGTACACAGCTTTTGTTGCAGAACCTGTCGACGAGTCCACTGGTTCGCCAAGCTTTACCTTAACTGCGCACCCATCTGCTCACAGTACTTCAGCTTTGCTCGACGCACCGGGGAATCCATCAACAACTTCCTCGTACGGGAGGCCCTGGTGCACAGTGAGTTCGTTTCGTGGAGGCACTGACTCGCCTTCATGAAGACAAGCTTGGACTTCAAGAAGCTGACCGCGACTCCCGACACTGCTTTGGCGCAGGCACTCCACTGTCATCGGCGAATCGGCGACTTCTACCTCCAAGAAAGAGGATGAGAAGATTGATGAACCCTCCCTTGAGGACTCCTTCGCGCTCGGAGTTCTTCGTGGATTCAGGCTGTTGCAAGCCGCTGCGTGGACTGTCACCCGATGAACGCCGGGACATCCTCGGAGCCACCGAGGCTCTCTTGAGTTTGAGGTGATCACCAAAGCACTTCAGACTGTCTGGGACGAGCAACTGGCAAGTTGCTACCCACTCCTTGGCTTACCAGGACCAGTCAGACCCGACGTACCAGGACTATCCCCCGACACCACGGAGGAAATGTGGCCGATGAAGAGACCGACATGCCTTGGTGAGAGACTGGCCGCGGAAGCACACCGCGCCTGGTCTGAAGCTCAGAGGGCAACTCAGGATTTGGCCACGTAGTGAATTCGAATGAAGCTGGACGTCAACGCTACAACTGTGGCAGCACCGAGCACTTTGCTCGCGACTGCCCTGACCGAAGTCATCCTGGCTTCATGGGAAAGGGAAAGATGAAACGCCACATGGTTGAGAATGACCCCCACATGACCTAAGCCATGTACAAGGGCCAGGGCAAGGGCAAACGTAAGAACTTGCGGCTTGGTGCTCAAGCCTGGCAAAAAGGCAAACCCAAGGGCAAGCGCGTTGGCAAGCCTTCGCCTGTCGTGAACACCTACAACTCTGAGCTGTATGCGGCTGGCCTTGAACTTCATGATGCTCATGCGCTGCAGTCTGCAAGCTCCTCCAAGGCCCTTCCAATGGACCTAATCCCGAAGCAAGATCGCTCAGCCCATGTCGTCGTGGCAAGAACGAGAGACCTTTCTTCAGGTTTGGAAACGGGAAGTGGGGTCAGGCACTCTATATCGGGTTCGCATCACCTCGAATGCATCTGGAGAACCTAGTACTTTTGCGGTCTTTCCCTTCCGACCCCGGCCGAGTACTGCCATCTATCAATATGCCCCCAGACTGCGATGATCATCGATTTCTCCACTGGTTTGGCCATGGATGCCCACAACATGAATTCCGACATCTACCAGTTGGAAACCAACGATAAGGGTCGCTGTGTTTTGGGTGTGGTTCACTATTTGACCAAGGGTTACCAGGTTCTCGAGGGGAACGCCGTCGTTCACGTTCATGAACATGATGTTCACGAGCTTCATCAACAGCAGATTGAAACCTTGGAGTTCAACCCTGTTTGTTTTGAAGATGCACTTCATGTCCAACCACCTCAATCAACCACAACATGATGACATGTTTTTGGAACGTTCGCGAGCTCGGCTTCGATTGCTGCACTCGGCCTCGCAAAGTCATCGTGCATCACCGACTGCAGCTCCCACAGCTCTCATGGGCAATCGTGAGACTCGCTCACCCCGCAATTCGAGTCGCAGCTGTCCTATCAGGACAAGGGGGATCAAGGTCTGCTGGAGCAGATCAAGAGCCAGACGCCGAAGGCCAAGGCTCGACCCTTCGATCCATGAGCGATGCATGATGGGCCCGGACAGCCGGGGTCCGAGATGCAGCGACCGATGCTGGCCATGCTTCGGGGAGCGCGTGACGGGCATTGATGGTGCCAACCCCCACGGCCGCTGGGCATGCTGCATGGCGCGCAATCTTCGTCTGATGTACGGGCCTCGCCACGGATCACCAGCGAACAGCACCAAGACCGAGAACCGGGCATGGTCAACCGCACGCTCACCGAGCTGAAAGTCCTCATGGGCGACACCATGCCTACGGCTCAGGTTGCCTGGCCATGCAGAAGAAGATCGCTGCCGAGGAAGCTATCCACAAGGAGACCAAAGGCAGCAGCTCTCAGGGCTGCACCTCACCGAATGCCAAGGCCAAGGTGAAGACTTCATCGCCGAGCCGCTCCACAACAAGTCACCCTCGGAAGTTGTCATTCCGGCGGTCGGACTCCTGCAGGACATGGACCGCCACCTGACCTGTCAGGTTCAAGGTCATTCGCGATCGCAAGTCGGCAGAGGCAGAGGTCGAGGAGGTCGAGGCAGTCAGTGTGGCTGAAGCCTTCAAGATGGAGGCAACTCAGTAGTGATGGCACCACTGCCGCTCTACGTGGCCAAGAAGCTCATGCTCCTGCTGGCCACCCTGTCCACGACTATGATGGCAGTGAGACCTTTGTTTGTACAACAAGGATGGCATTTGGGAAGTGGCGCGCGCACCTCGCTCCTGGCTCAGCACTGCATGCGATGAACAAGGCCTCCGTCCTCGCAGGATCAATCTCGAGAACGGTTACGACCTCTACACTGAGAGCCCCGTAGCTTTGATAGTTATAACTTGAGTTATAGCGCTTACTGAAGTTAAAAATAAGTTATAAGTAAGTTATGTGAAAGAAAGTGTCAGTAAGTTATAAGAAAGTTGAAGAAGTTATCAAGTTGCTTAACTTTTTGCGTTGCAAAAAACAGGGCAGACAACCGCGGAGCAAAAAACACAGAAACACAAGGGTTTTCATATTCTGGGCAGTCGCACTTTTACAGCAGACGCACGACTTTGTCGTCTTCGTGACACCACCACGCTGGCCGCCAGACATTGCTGCAATCGATTGGCACAGCTTCGATCTGGGGTGTTCGTTTCCCTGCCAAGAAGACACATTGTGACATGTCTTGCAACATGCCTTGCTCGCAGCCAGGGCATTCTTGGAAGCTCCCAGCTGTCATCACCGAACCGCACTGGGCACATTTGGGATGGGATCAGACTCAGGCTCAGCTTGGCAAGCTGGGTCTCACTCGCTTCGGCTTGGGTTGGAACCAACTGCATTGTTTCGTCCATGCTTCAAACTGCGCAAGTCCTGCAAGAAAATTTTTTGAGCCCTCAAATGTTTGCCATGGAAAAAACTTGATGCCAAGGAGATCTAAGGAGACACGCGGGGATACACGCAGATACACCAGGATACATGTGGATACACGTGTATCCAAATGTATCCCTGTGCATCCTTTAACATGTGTCCAAATGTATCCCTGGGTGTATCCTCTAGGAGGGGATACACCGCGGACATTTGGATGTACCCCTCTGTATCTCCCTGTATCCCTGTGCATTCCCTTTTGTATCGCAAAATTGATCCGTATGTCTCTTTCCATACAATCTTGCATTGAAGAGAAAAGTACTGGGCAGAACAACCGCCAAAGGTCAAAGAAGTGCATTATGTTTTTTGTTTTGCCGGAAAGCTCGCTTGAACTGCGTCAAAATCGTACTCCATCCCTCACGACTTCTTCATCACAGACCGCTGCTGCATCGAAGAGCGTTTCCCTGCCATGTCTTCGCAACGACGGCTTGCGAAGTGTCCCTGTGGCGCGCGTTAATCCGAACAAAAAAATGTAAATGTCATATATGTGCGTCATGGTGCATCTCACGCAGCCTGGGCAGACTACCGCCAAAAGAATAAACGAATCCTGCGCAACATGAGCACTTATCAACCTTGTTTGTGAACTTGTTTGCAGAGATTTTACAAACCATCAAAAACAAACGTTAAAAACTAACTTCCGTAACTGGTTTCTAAGTTCTGCAAGCTTCAACTCAGCATGTGTCATAACTATGTTGTAGTTTTCAAATGGTTTGGAACTTACTCATATTTGTGTAATAACTTCAAAGGAACTTTTCGAACTTAGCGTA